TATAAACAAGCAAGCAGTGTAGTGGTGTTCATCATTTCCCCCAGCTCATTGGTGATGACAAAAGTTCAACGTAAGGTACTGGTAGATATAAAGTACTCATGAATGGCCGAGGATATGTATGCACATGTACAAGTGAAGGAATAATGAACTGTCTTCTCTCGAATGCGAGTGCCACTTTGGCTGCTACCACTTACAAGTCCGATGTACAATGCGTGTGTAGCCAGGCTGCCACCCACGGATTGTGGTACTCGCACCAGGTTAGTTAAGGGCCATGGAAAGTGCAGTCCAGGTCTCCAAGAGAAACTGACCTGGAATTGTCCCTGTATCAGGCATAACGAAGTAGTACTGCGTTATTGTTACCTTATAATACTGTCTATATATAGAGATCTGTAATTGAGTACTAACATCAGCATGTAGGGGTTAATGTCGGGTCAGAAAAGTACTGCCCTTCCTGCTGCATTATCTTGTCCCTCTACGAAAATGTCTTTTTTAGATGTTAATAAGAACAGACCGATATGTAGATAGAATTATATATAGTGTTCTATATCTACCTACATACTCAGAATATTATGGTGTCGACAAGCGATAAACTTGTACGATGACTTTTAAAATCGGATTATACTGATAATGTGAATTAATCATATAAATGTACTGGGTATACAAGAACATAACAGATATTGATGTCAACCTTTTATTGAGCGAATATGGTGTAAACGAATTTCGTACTATAAATAAAAAGATTTCGTATTCGCATCGATATTAGGAAAGCAGGAGAGTTCAGTAGTCGTTGCGTTCGTAGGGAAGAGGCACTGACGTAGGTGCCACGGGAAGGTGATCGCCCACGGGCTGGTAACCGCCCACGCCGGAGGTGAAGCTCAGCTTGATGGGGACGCCTTCGGGAGCAGTGTAGCTGGAGAAGGGCACGAGAACTAACATCAGTAGTCTCATGAGTTTTATTATCCTTTCATGTATCACGTATTTTTAGAAACATCAGTTATACTTCTCCCTCATGGTCTCGTGGTGGAAATGCGGGGTGCCGCCCCTAAGTATTGTGCGCAAGCGCACGTGGGCTTAGCTACGTACATGTTAAAAGACCTTTATTGTTACTCTCATGCCCTGTAATTTGTGTGAGGACACTATCTTACTGGGAGGATAGTGTTACACATAATGAGTTGTAATTAATAGCCCAGTTTTAACATAACTGGATGGCGTCTCTAGTGACGTTATGCTAGTGATTTGCCATATCATTATGGACGTCATAAACCGTGACAATGCAGCCACTCACATGGATACCCACATGCATATCCATGTTGACGCGACAGTAGTCAATACCCTAGATAGAAGGCGAAGATACCCGCAGATCTGGTCTCGCCTTACCGCTCGGAACCTGCTGCTTTTTATTCCACAACGTCAGGTACGGTCTGTATGTAGTTTACCTGGAACTCACCAATGTATATATTTGAAGCTTAGTGACTGGTGCAAGGGTGGTAAACATGTAAGCTAGGTACTAAGATAATATAAACAAGCAAGCAGTGTAGTGGTGGTTCATCATTTTCTCCGCCTAATTGGTGATGACAGAAATTCAATGTAAGGTACTGGTAGATATAAAGTACTCATGAATGGATGAGGATATGTATGTACATGTACAAGTGAAGGAATAACGAACTGTCTTCTCTCGAATGCGAGTGCCACTTTGGCTGCTACCACTTACAAGTCCGATGTACGATGCGTGTGTGGCCAGGCTGCCACCCACGGATTGTGGTACTTGCACCAGGTTGGTTAAGGGCCATGGAAAGTGCAGTTCAGGACCTGGAATTGTCCCTGTATCAGGCATAACGAAGTAGTACTGCGTTATTGTTACCTTATAATACTGTCTATATATAGAGATATGTAATTGAGTACTAACATCAGCATGTTGGGGTTAAATTCGGGTCAGAAAGTACTGCCCTTCTTGCTGCATTATCCTGTCCCTCTACGAAAATGTCTTTTTTACATGTTAATAAGAACAGACCGATATGTAGATAGAATTATATATAGTGTTCTATATCCACCTACATACTCAGGATATTATGGTGTCGACAAGCGGTAAACTTGTACGATGACTTCACAATATTAATCAACTTTCAAAATCGGATTATACTGATAGTGTGAATTAATCATATAAAGGTTCTGGGTATACAAGAACATAACAGATATTGATGTCAACCTTTTATTGAGCGAATATGGTGTAAACGAATTCCGTACTATAAATAAAAAGATTTCATATTCGCATCGATATTAGGAAAGCAGGAGAGTTCAGTAGTCGTTGCGTTCGTAGGGAAGAGGCACTGACGTAGGTGCCACGGGAAGGTGATCGCCCACGGGCTGGTAACCGCCCACACCGGAGGTGAAGCTCAGCTTGATGGGGACGCCTTCGGGAGCGGTGTAGCTGGAGAAGGGACACAGGCATTTAAAGATAGACACCAAAGCTTTGCCATACACATCCTTGTCAGATTAAGCTTATCAAGGGACATGGTTCTTTGCGAAGCCTAAGGGACTCACCTCCATCCTCCCGAGGACTCCTGGCCATCAGCCTGCCTTCCGGCCTCGTTCCTGACGATGCCGTTTCCAGTCTCGAAATTGAACGTGTACTCGCCGTAGGCGTTCTGTGTGCGGTCGTCCTTCAGGATCGGGATGGGCGTCTTGTAGCTGTCGGCGACGACCACGGCCACCAGGCAGGCGAGCTGTGGGGGATTCAAGCATCAGAATCACACATATAAAGACTTTTCATGGATTCCTTCCTTATGAAGGACATTCATAAAAAACTTTTTTCCTCAAGTTTCCGTTTTGACACAATACACCATTTTTCCAGTCATGACCATAAATTTGTGTTCCAACAAAAGAAGCTAAAACACACAACAAGAAGACGTTGCATTGTGATGGCTGTGCAGTACAGTGTGCTCATCCGAAACACAGACTGTTTATATAGATGGTCTACAGTGGGCGGAGTTGTCTCCGCCCACTGTAGACCATAAATGAACGGTTAGAAAGTTTCTATCCTGAGTAAGTTCAAAATATATGTATCTACACATAAACACATACACACACATCTGAATATATGGTACATTTACAGATATGTCCGTTTGCATGTATGTGTTTATGTATATATCTGTATGTACGTATGCATTTATATACTCAGAGGAAGGTCTGTGCGCCCACCCTGTATACACACATGCATTTATAAATATATATATACATTAATATACAGTATGTTTATATACATATGCATGTGTGTGCAGGCATGTGTATGTGTATACATATATGTGTATGTATATATGTATATGTATATATATAAATGCGTGTATATATATAGATACAAAGATGTGTATGTGTGTATGCACTATATCTAGATTTTTTGTATATGTATATATGGATATATACATTACTCGTGTATATTCATATATGTAGCTTTATCCATGCACATACAGTATGTTTATGCTGTATATAGGTGTCTTATTGTTTTGTTTCATTGTATTGAATATCGTATATGCATGTATGTATATGTATATACATATAACTATATATATATGTGTGTGTGTGTACACTCGTAAATATATATGTATGTGTGTATATATACATATCTGTATATATATTGTTTAAACACACACATATATATACAGTATATACACATGTACACTCACGCACACACACACATATATGTATGTATATATACGTCTGTTTATATTTATTTATATATAAACACACACGTGTGTGTTAATCTTCCATATGCCTTAGACAGTTTACTAGAATTCCTGCTTATTAGCAACTCCCATTCCCTGAATGGGAGTTGCATATGCGATAGCATATGCATCACTTAATGATGCCCATCAAATACAGCCAAAATAATCATTATTACCAGAAACATGATTTCATTGCCTGTGCTAGTGACAATAATCCCACCTGTGCAACATTGACCAATATTGCTGTTACTTTTCAGTAATATAGTCAAAGAATGTGGCAAGTACCTTTTCTGAAATTGCAAACGTGCATACGTGCATTGGTAGAATAAAAACTCTGGGGCATATGCACTAATGTTTTTTTATTACTAGACTGTCTTACGTGAATTATATATACCTCCAACGATATAAACTTGTACTATGTTAAAATGATAATGATAAGAATGATTCTTCAAAATGTAACAACGATTACATTACCTATGTGAACAAAGCCCCTTTTAGCCTTTTTGGCTTTCGGTAATTCGCTCCGAACTTTCCCTTTCTGCTTCTGCTTCCTCTCGAGCTGCTCGCTCATTCCAACCCTGCTTTGCAGCACTAGCCTCTTCAGCATCTGTTTCCAAGCAGCCTAAAGCATGGCCAGTCCCTCCTTCGTCAGAACATCAGCTTTGTGGAGAACGTCACACCGGCCATCCTAGGATCTCGACCAGGTGGGAGCGCTGCCTCGCGAGGAACCCATTTGCCTAAGGAATGATTCGACAGCCTTCGTTTGGACTCTTACGCTTTGGTAGAGTTTTGTCTGGCCATTTCTAATTTCATTCCACAAGGAATGAATTATTGACAAACATACAGATTATTTGCCATACATCTTCATGAAAGAAGAGATTGCCCCATAAACAGCCACCATCCGTGCTGTTGCTGAGGTCAGCTCAGTTTCATGATCACTGAAGGGTCTTTCTACATCAGCGCTGCCATGAGAAAATTGAGACAAAGTTTGATCAGCATTTTAGTTTTCTTGCGAACCAGTAATGCAAAAGGAAGACTGGAAGAGGCCCGCGCCCTTTGTGCTGTCGTCTTGACATCTAAATCAGAGCCCTTGTTTGCGAATAAATGTTTTTCTAACACATTCTCACACAGTTATTCAATACTTACTCTTTGACATATTTTGGCACAATCTGACACATTGTAGTACCGTTGGTATATATGGATGTAGATACATAGTTGAATAGATGTATAGAAAGAAAGATGTCACACATCAACATATTACGGATAGGTCCTCTTTATTGACTAGCCGTGGCAATTGCCATAACACAAAATAGAGATGCAGTCTACGTCGAGAGGACGCGGCAGGGTGGCCTGTCCCTTGACTCTGACCCCTGCAAGAAGCCAGTACTCTCGCAGCTGAGTCGACGTAGAGGGGCTGGCCGGGCGCGAACCTGACTCATATGGCAAAGCTATTACTAATGTCCATTTTATTACAGAAAAGGGTATTATTGTGAATGAATCTCATTTGCACTGTGAAACCAATCATTCTTAGTCTTAGTCTTCTATATTTGCCATAATTAACACTGTTCACCTATTAATGGTAACTTTCGCGGTACGACATATATGTCTATTTATATATACATATGTATATGTATATGTGTGTGTGTAGATCTATATGTGTATGATACACTGATATGTCTATAAATTTATGAATGATTTGTGAAAGTCTTAAGAACAATATATTGCGTAAAATTATTCCCCAAAACTGTTAACATACTTTATGAGAAATATTCCCTCCCCACTTTCCTCATTTTTGAGATTCTGTGCGTAACAGTGTACTTTGTCAGCAACTTTCAAAGGCTACTAAATGTATTCGACTGAAATGTTCGAGAAAATGGGAAGTCCGAGGGTAAAGCCACTTATGATGTCTTTTCAAAAAAAGTCTGACGTGAGCGACCATCGGACGCTCTGGCGCTAAATTCAGGATCTCCATTGTCGATTCGAGACAGTAGCATTAAACCATTTTTCGTGGGACTTGTTCATCTCAGTATTGGGTTCATGACAAAGAAATGCCAGTTGCATGGTCGAGGCTTTATTGGAGATAAGGACATGAACGAGTTTCGTTCCATAAATACCCAAGAAAATAAATACAAGAATTGTAACACATATCGTGAGGAGAATTATTCTTGTAATTTATCACATCACTCACGTGAATTTAGGAGAATATGAAATATGGAATGAACAGAGAAAGCACGAAAGATTTAGTAATCCTGACGTTCGTAGGGAAGAGGCACTGACGTGGGTGCCACGGGAAGGTGATCGCCCACGGGCTGGTAACCGCCCACGCCGGAGGTGAAGCTCAGCTTGATGGGGATGCCTTCGGGAGCGGTGTAGCTGGAGAAGGGACACAGGCATTTACAGATAGACACCAAAGCTTTGCCATACACATCCTTATCAGATTAAGCTTATCAAGGGACATGGTTCTTTGCGAGGCCTAAGGGACTCACCTCCATCCTCCCGAGGACTCCTGGCCATCAGCCTGCTTTCCGGCCTCGTTCCTGACGATGCCGTTTCCAGTCTCGAAGTCGAACGTGTACTCGCCATAGGCGTTCTGTGTGCGGTCGTCCTTCAGGATCGGGATGGGCGTCTTGTAGCTGTCGGCGACGACCACGGCCACCAGGCAGGCGAGCTGTGTGGGGATTCAAGCATCAGAATCATACATATAAAGACTTTTTTATGGATTCCTTCCTTACTGAGGACGGCCAATAAAAAACTTTTTTTCTGAACAAGTTTCCGTTTCGACACAATACACCGTTTTTCCAGTCATGACCATAAATTTGTGTTCCAACAAAAGAATCTAAAACGCTCACAACAAGAAGACGTTGCATTGTGATGGCTGTGTAGTACAGTGTGCTCATCCGAAAGGCGGCGGCTCTTTATATACACGGTCCACAGTGGGCGGAGCTGTATGATTGTGGGCGGACCTCGACCGTTTCGTCAGGCAATGAAAGTACGACCTTGAATAACTACATATATTGAAAATATGAATACACACCTTGTGGATATATTTACATGTAAACATGTGTGTGTGTGCATGTAAACATGTGTGTGTACATGTAAATATATGTATATGTAAACATATATGTGTATGTAATTGCGTAGTTGTGTTTGTGTATGTATGTATACATATACATATGTGTATTTATATTCATACATATATGTATATGTGTTTGTGCGTATATATATGATATATATGATATATATGTGTATGTATATACAAATATATTTACACATAAACATATGTGTGTGTGTATATATGTATAACATGTATATACATATATTGTAGTGGGACTATTCGCCCACTCCTTGTCCTTCCACGCCCCCCACCCCTTGCTATGACGAGTCCATGGCACGAGTCAGATTTAATGAACCCACTGGAAAAAGGGCACGAGAACTAACATCAGTATTCTCATGAGTTTTATCATCCTTTCATGTATCACGTATTTTTAGAAACATCTTTTATACTTCTCCCTCATGGTCTCGTGGAAATGCGGGGTGCCGCCCCTAAGTATTGTGCGCAAGCGCACGTGGGCTTAGCTACGTATATGTTAAAGGACATTTATTGTTACTCTCTTGCCCTGTAATTTGTGTGAGGACACTATCTTACTGGGAGGATAGTGTTACACATAATGAGTTGTAATTAATAGCCCAGCTTTAACATAACTGGATGGCGTCTCTAGTGACGTTATGCTAGTGATTTGCCATGTCATCATTAGTGACGTCATAAACCGTGACAATGCAGCCACTCACATGGATACCCACATGGATATCCATGTTGACGTGACAGTAGCCAATACCCTAGCGAGAAGGCGAAGATGCCCGCAGATCTGGTCTCGCCTCCTTACCGCTCGGAACCTGCTGCTTTTTATGCCACAACGTCAGGTACGGTTTGTATGTAGTTTACCTGGAACTCACCAATGTATATATTTGAAGCTTAGTGACTGGTGCAAGGGTGATAAACATGTAAGCTAGGTACTAAGACAATATAAACAAGCAAGCAGTGTAGTGGTGTTCATCATTTCCCCCAGCTCATTGGTGATGACAAAAGTTCAACGTAAGGTACTGGTAGATATAAAGTACTCATGAATGGCCGAGGATATGTATGCACATGTACAAGTGAAGGAATAATGAACTGTCTTCTCTCGAATGCGAGTGCCACTTTGGCTGCTACCACTTACAAGTCCGATGTACAATGCGTGTGTAGCCAGGCTGCCACCCACGGATTGTGGTACTCGCACCAGGTTAGTTAAGGGCCATGGAAAGTGCAGTCCAGGTCTCCAAGAGAAACTGACCTGGAATTGTCCCTGTATCAGGCATAACGAAGTAGTACTGCGTTATTGTTACCTTATAATACTGTCTATATATAGAGATCTGTAATTGAGTACTAACATCAGCATGTAGGGGTTAATGTCGGGTCAGAAAAGTACTGCCCTTCCTGCTGCATTATCTTGTCCCTCTACGAAAATGTCTTTTTTAGATGTTAATAAGAACAGACCGATATGTAGATAGAATTATATATAGTGTTCTATATCTACCTACATACTCAGAATATTATGGTGTCGACAAGCGATAAACTTGTACGATGACTTTTAAAATCGGATTATACTGATAATGTGAATTAATCATATAAATGTACTGGGTATACAAGAACATAACAGATATTGATGTCAACCTTTTATTGAGCGAATATGGTGTAAACGAATTTCGTACTATAAATAAAAAGATTTCGTATTCGCATCGATATTAGGAAAGCAGGAGAGTTCAGTAGTCGTTGCGTTCGTAGGGAAGAGGCACTGACGTAGGTGCCACGGGAAGGTGATCGCCCACGGGCTGGTAACCGCCCACGCCGGAGGTGAAGCTCAGCTTGATGGGGACGCCTTCGGGAGCAGTGTAGCTGGAGAAGGGACACAGGCATTTACATATAGACACCAAAGCTTTGCCATACACATCCTTATCAGATTAAGCTTATCAAGGGACATGGTTCTTTGCGAAGCCTAAGGGACTCACCTCCATCCTCCCGAGGACTCCTGGCCATCAGCCTGCTTTCCGGCCTCGTTCCTGACGATGCCGTTTCCAGTCTCGAAGTCGAACGTGTACTCGCCGTAGGCGTTCTGTATGCGGTCGTTCTTCAGGATCGGGATGGGCGTCTTGTAGCTGTCGGCGACGACCACGGCCACCAGGCAGGCGAGCTGTTTGGGGATTCAAGCATCAGAATCACACATATAAAGACTTTTCATGGATTCCTTCCTTATGAAGGACATTCAATAAAAAACTTTTTTCTGAACAAGTTTCCGTTTTGACACAATACACCATTTTTCCAGTCATGACCATAAATTTGTGTTCCAACAAAAGCTAAAACGCTCACAACAAGAAGATGTTGCATTGTGATGGCTGTGCAGTACAGTGTGCTCATCCGAAACACACACACTTTATATAGATGGTCTACAGTGGGCGGAGTTGTTTCGTTGTGGGCGGAGTTTCAGGGATTCAGCATAAAGAACGGTCATGTATATATACGAATGTGTATATTTATTTATATATAAAAACACACGTGTGTGTGTGTTAACTTTCCATATGCCTTATACAGTTTACTAGAATTCCTGCTTATTAGCAACTCCCATTCCCCGAATATACTGTAATGCGATAGCAATGCATCACTTAATGATGCCCATCAAATACAGCCAAAATAAACATTACCAAAAACATTCATGCTATTGCCTGTGCTAGTGGCAATAATCCCACCTGTGCAACATTGACCAATATTGCTGTTACTTATCAGTAATATAGTCAAAGAATGTGACAAGTAGCTTCCTGAAATTGCAAACTTGCATACGTGCATTGGTAGAATAAAAACTCTGGGGCATATGCACTAATATTCTTTTATTACAAGACTGCCTTACGTGAAATATGTTTGTGCTTTGTAGTGAATAGAAAACAGTAGTGAAAAAAAAAGTTTTTTTTTACCACAAACCTACATGTTAGGTTTACACACGATTACATTACCTATGAGAACAAAACCCTTTTTAGCCTTTTTGGCTTTCGGTAATTCGCTTCGAACTTTCCCTTTCTGCCTCTGCTTCCTATCGAGCTGCTCGCTCATTCCACCCCTGCTTTGCAGCACTAGCCTCTTCAGCATCTGTTTCCAAGCAGCCTAAAGCATGGCCAGTCCCTCCTTCGTCAGAACATCAGCTTTATAGAGAACGTCACACCGGCCATCCTGAAATCTCGACCAGATGGGAGCGCTGCCTCGCGAGGAACCCATTTGCCTAAGGAATGATTTGACAGCCTTCGTTTGGACTCACGCTTTGGTAGAGTTTTGTCTGGCCATTTCTAATTTCATTCCACAAGGAATGAATTATTGGCAAACATACAGATTATTTGCCATACATCTTCATGAAAGAAGAGATTGCCACATAAACAGCCACCATCCGTGCTGTTACTGAGGCCAGCTCAGTTTCATGATCACTGAAGGCTCTTTCTATATCAGCGCTGCCATGAGAAAATTGAGACAAATTTTGATCGGCATTTTAGTTTTCTTGCAAACCAATAATGCAAAAGGCAGACTGGAAGAGGCCCGCGCCCTTTGTGCTGTCGTCTTGACATCCAAATCAGAGCCCTTGTTTGCGAACAAATGTTTCTTTGACACAGTCTCACACAGTTATTCAATACTTACTCTTTGACACATTTTGGCACAAGCTGACATAGTTAAATAGATGTATAGATAGAAAGATAGATGTCATACATCAACGTATTACGGATAGGTCCTCTTTATCGTATAGCCGTGGCAATTGCCATAACACAAAATAGAGATGCAGTCTACGTCGAGAGGACGCGGCAGGGTGGCCTGTCCCTTGACTCTGACCCCTGCAAGAAGCCAGTACTCTCGCAACTGAGTCGACCGAGAGGGGCTGGCCGGGCGCGAACCTGACTGTTATTGCAAAGAAGCTATTACTTTTGCCCATTTTATTGCTGAAAAGGGTATGAATGTGAATGAATCTCATTTGCACTGTGAAGCCATCCATTCTCATTCATACTGTCTTCTATATTTGCCATATTTAACACTGTTCACCCATTAATGGTAACTTTTCCGATATGATATATATATCTATTTATATATACATATGCATATATGTGAGTGCGTGTAGATCTATGTGTATGATATACCGATATGACTATAAATCTATGAATGATCTGTGAGTCTTAAGAACAATATATTGCATATAATTATTCCCAAAAACTATTAACATACTTTATGAGAAATATTCCCTCCCCACCTTCCTCATTTTTGAGATTCTGTGCGCAACAGTGTACTTTGTCAGCAACTTTCAAAGGCTACTAAATGTATTAGACTGAAATGTTCGAGAAAATGGGAAATCTGAGGGTAAAGCCACTTGTGATGTCTTTTCTGAAAAAGAAGTCTGACGTGAGCGACCATCGGACGCTGTGGCGATAGCTTCAGGATCTCCATTGTCGACTCGAGACAGTAGCATTAAACCATTTTTCGTGAGACTTGTTCATCTCAGTATTGGGTTCATGACAAAGAAATGCCAGTTGCATGGTCGAGGCTTTATTGGAGATAAGGACATGAACGAGTTTCGTTCCATAAATACCCAAGAAAATAAATATAAGAATCGTAACACATATCGTGATGAGAATTATTCATGGACTTTATCACATCACTCACATGAATTTAGGAGAATATAAAATATGGAATGAACAGAGAAAGCACGAAAGATTTAGTAATCCTGACGTTCGTAGGGAAGAGGCACTGATGTGGGTGCCACGGGAAGGTGATCGCCCACGGGCTGGTAACCGCCCACGCCGGAGGTGAAGCTCAGCTTGATAGGGACGCCTTCGGGAGCGGTGTAGCTGGAGAAGGGACACAGGCATTTACATATAGACACCAAAGCTTTGCCACACACATCCTTATCAGATTAAGCTTATCAAGGGACATGGTTCTTTGCGAAGCCTAAGGGACTCACCTCCATCCTCCCGAGGACTCCTGGCCATCAGCCTGCTTTCCGGCCTCGTTCCTGACGATGCCGTTTCCAGTCTCGAAGTCGAACGTGTACTCGCCGTAGGCGTTCTGTGTCCGGTCGTCCTTCAGGATCGGGATGGGCGTCTTGTAGCTGTCGGCGACGACCACGGCCACCAGGCAGGCGAGCTGTGTGGGGATTCAAGCATCAGAATCACACATATAAAGACTTTTTATGGATTCCTTCCTTAATGAGGACAGCCAATAAAAAACTTTTTTTCTGAACAAGTTTCCGTTTCGATACAATACACCGTTTTTCCAGTTATGACCATAAATTTGTGTTCCAACAAAAGAAGCTAAAACGCTCACAACAAGAAGACGTTGCATTGTGATGGCTGTGTAGTACAGTGTGCTCATCCGAAAGGCGGCGGCTCTTTATATACACGGTCCACAGTGGGCGGAGCTGTATGATTGTGGGCGGACCTCGACCGTTTCGTCAGGCAATGAAAGTACGACCTTGAATAACTACATATATTGAAAATATGAATACACACACCTTGTGGATATATTTACATGTAAACATGTGTGTGTGTGTGTGTGTGTGCATGTAAACATGTGTGTGTGTACATGTAAACATATGCATATGTAAACATATATGTGTATGTAATTGCGTAGTTGTGTTTGTGTATGTATGTATACATATACATATGTGTATTTATATTCATACATATATGTATATGTGTTTGTGCGTATATATATGATATATATGATACATATGTGTATGTATATACAAATATATTTACACATAAACATATGTGTGTGTGTATATATGTATAACATGTATATACATATATTGTAGTGGGACTATTCGCCCACTCCTTGTCCTTCCACGCCCCCCACGCCCCCTTGCTATGACGAGTCCATGGCACGAGTCAGATTTAATGAACCCACTGGAAAAAGGGCACGAGAACTAACATCAGTAGTCTCATGAGTTTTATTATCCTTTCGTGTATCACGTATTTTTAGAAACATCAATTATACTTCTCCCTCATGGTCTCGTGGAAATGCGGGGTGCCGCCCCTAAGTATTGTGCGCAAGCGCACGTGGGCTTAGCTACGTACATATCAAAAGACCTTTATTGTTACTCTCATGCCCTGTAATTTGTGTGAGGACACTATATTACTGGGAGGATAGTGTTACACATAATGAGTTGTAATTAATAGCCCAGTTTTAACATAACTGGATGGCGTCTCTAGTGACGTTATGCTAGTGATTTGCCATATCATTAGTGACGTCATAAACCGTGACAATGCAGCCACTCACATGGATACCCACATGGATATCCATGCTGACGTGACAGTAGCCAATACCCTAGCTAGAAGGCGAAGATGCCCGCAGATCTGGTCTCGCCTCCTTACCGCTCGGAACCTGCTGCTTTTTATCCCACAACGTCAGGTACGGTTTGTATGTAGTTTACCTGGAACTCACCAGTGTATATATTTAATGCTTAGTGACTGGTGCAAGGGTGGTAAACATGTAAGCTAGGTACTAAGATAATATAAACAAGCAAGCAGTGTAGTGGTGTTCATCATTTTCTCCGCCTAATTGGTGATGACAGAAATTCAACGTAAGGTACTGGTAGATATAAAGTACTCATGAATGGATGAGGATATGTATGTACATGTACAAGTGAAGGAATAATGAACTGTCTTCTCTCGAATGCGAGTGCCACTTTGGCTGCTACCACTTACAAGTCCGATGTACGATGCGTGTGTGGCCAGGCTGCCACCCACGGATTGTGGTACTTGCACCAGGTTAGTTAAGGGCCATGGAAAGTGCAGTTCAGGTCTCCAAGAGACACTGACCTGGAATTGTCCCTGTATCAGGCAAAACGAAGTAGTACTGCGTTATTGTTACTTTATAATACTGTCTATATATAGAGATCTGTAATTGAGTACTAACATCAGCATACTGGGGTTAAAGTCGGGTCAGAAAAGTACTGCCCTTCCTGCTGCATTATCCTGTCCCTCTATGAAAATGTCCTTTTTTAGATGTTAGTAAGAACAGACCGATATGTAAATAAAATTATATATAGTGTTCTATATCTACCTACATACTCAGGATATTATGGTGTCGACAAGTGGTAAACTTGTACGATGACTTCACAATATTAATCAACTTTTAAAAACGGATTATACTGATAGTGTGAATTAATCATATAAATGTACTGGGTATACAAGAACATAACAGATATTGATGTCAACCTTTTATTGAGCGAATATGGTGTAAACGAATTTCGTACTATAAATAGATTTCATATTCGCATCGATATTAGGAAAGCAGGAGAGTTCAGTAGTCGTTGCGTTCGTAGGGAAGAGGCACTGACGTAGGTGCCACGGGAAGGTGATCGCCCACGGGCTGGTAACCGCCCACGCCGGAGGTGAAGCTCAGCTTGATGGGGACGCCTTCGGGAGCGGTGTAGCTGGAGAAGGGACACAGGCATTTACATATAGACACCAAAGCTTTGCCATACACATCCTTATCAGATTAAGCTTATCAAGGGACATGGTTCTTTGCGAAGCCTAAGGGACTCACCTCCATCCTCCCGAGGACTCCTGGCCATCAGCCTGCTTTCCGGCCTCGTTCCTGACGATGCCGTTTCCAGTCTCGAAGTCGAACGTGTACTCGCCGTAGGCGTTCTGTGTGCGGTCGTCCTTCAGGATCGGGATGGGCGTCTTGTAGCTGTCGGCGATGACCACGGCCACCAGGCAGGCGAGCTGTTTGGGGATTCAAGCATCAGAATCACACATATAAAGACTTTTCATGGATTCCTTCCTTATGAAGGACATTCAATTAAAAACTTTTTTTCCTCAAGTTTCCGTTTTGACACAATACACCATTTTTCCAGTCATGACCATAAATTTGTGTTCCAACAAAAGCTAAAACGCTCACAACAAGAAGACGTTGCATTGTGATGGCTGTGCAGTACAGTGTGCTCATCCGAAACACACACACTTTATATAGATGGTCTACAGTGGGCGGAGTTGTTTCGTTGTGGGCGGAGTTTCAGGGATTCAGCATAAAGAACGGTTATGTATATATACGAATGTGTATATTTATTTATATATAAAAACACGTGTGTGTGTGTGTTAACTTTCCATATGCCTCATACAGTTTACTAGAATTCCTGCTTATTAGCAACTCCCATTCCCCGAATATACTGTAATGCGATAGCATATGCATCTCTTAATGATGCCCATCAAATACAGCCAAAATAAACATTACCAGAAACATTCATGCTATTGCCTGTGCTAGTGGCAATAATCCCACCTGTGCAACATTGACCAATATTGCTGTTACTTATCAGTAATATAGTCAAAGAATGTGACAAGTAGCTTCCTGAAATTGCAAACTTGCATACGTGCATTGGTAGAATAAAAACTCTGGGGCATATGCACTAATATTCTTTTATTACAAGACTGCCTTACGTGAAATATATATATCTCCAACGATATAAACTTGTACTATGTTAAAATGATAATGATAAGAATGATTCTTCAAAATGTAACACCTTTTACCAATCAAATTATTTGATTATACATCACGGGAAGGAAAATTGCTTGAAATTGACTATTTGCCTGGAAAAGGTTTGTGCTTTGTAGTGAATAGAAAACAGTAGTGAAAAAAAAAACTTTTTTTTACCACAAACCTACATGTTAGGTTAACACACGATTACATTACCTATGAGAACAAAACCCTTTTTAGCCTTTTTGGCTTTCAGTTATTCGCTTCGAACTTTCCCTTTCTGCCTCAGCTTCCTATCGAGCTGCTCGCTCATTCCACCCCTGTTTTGCAGCATTAGCTTCTTCAGCATCTGTTTCCAAGCAGCCTAAAGCATGGCCAGTCCCTCCTTCGTCAGAACATCAGCTTTATAGAGAACGTCACACCGGCCATCCTGAAATCTCGACCAGATGGGAGCGCTGACTCGCGAGGAACCCATTTGCCTAAGGAATGATTTGACAGCCTTCGTTTGGACTCACGCTTTGGTAGAGTTTTGTTTGGCCATTTCTAATTTCATTCCACAAGGAATGAATTATTGGCAAACATACAGATTATTTGCCAAATATCTTCATGAAAGAAGAGATTACCTCATAAACAGCCACCATCCGTGCTGTTGCTGAGGTCAGCTCAGTTTCATGATCACTGAAGGGTCTTTCTACATCAGCACTGCCATGAGAAAATTGAGACAAATTTTGATCAGCATTTTAGTTTTCTTGCGAACCTGCAATGCGAAAGGCAGACTGGAAGAGGCCCGCGCCCTTTGTGCTGTCTTGACATCCAAATCAGAGCCCTTGTTTGCAGACAAATATTTCTCTGACACATTCTCACACAGTTATTCAATACTTACTCTTTGACACATTTTGGCACAAGCTGACACACTGTGGTACCGTTGGTATATATGGATGCAGATACATAGTTAAATAGATGTATTGGTATATATGGATGTAGATACATAGTTAAATAGATGTATTGATAGAAAGATAGATATCATACATCAACGTATTACGGATAGGTCCTCTTAATCGACTAACCGTGGAAATTGCCATAACACAAACTAGAGATGCAGTCTACGTCGTGAGGATGCGGCAGGGTGGCCTGTCCCTTGACTCTGCCCCTGCACGAAGCCAGTACTCTCGCAACTGAGTCGGCCGAGAGGGGCTGGCCGGGGCGAACCTGACTGCTATTGCAAAGCTATTACTTTTGCCCATTTTATTGCTGAAAAGGGTATGAATGTGAATGAATCTCATTTGCACTGTGAATCCATCCATTCTCATTCATACTGTCTTCTATATTTGCCATAATTAACACTGTTCACCCATTAATGGTAACTTTCCCGATACGATATATGTCTATTTATATATACATATGCATATATGTGAGTGCGTGTAGATCTATGTGTATGATATACCGATATGTCTATAAATTTATGAATGATCTGTGAGTCTTAAGAACAATATATTACGTATAAGTATTCCTAAAAACTATTAACATACTTTATGAGAAATATTCCCTCCCCACCTTCCTCATTTTTGAGATTCTGTGCGCAACATTGTACTTTGTCAGCAACTTTCAAAGGCTACTAAATGTATTCGACTGAAATGTTCGAGGAAATGGGAAATCCGAGGGTAAAGCCACTTGTGATGTCTTTTCAAAAAAAAGAAGTCTGACGTGAGCGACCATCGGACGCTGTGGCGCTAAATTCAGGATCTCCATTGTCGACTCGAGACAGTAGCATTAAACCATTTTTCGTGGGACTTGTTCATCTCAGTATTGGGTTCATGACAAAGAAATGCCAGTTGCATGGTCGAGGCTTTACTAGAGAAAAGGACATGAACGAGTTTCGTTCCATAAATACCCAAGAAAATAAATACAAGAATCGTAACACATCGTGATGAGAATTATTCATGGAATTTATCACATCACTCACGTGAGTTTAGGAGAATATAATAAATGGAATGAACAGAGAAAACACGAAAGATTTAGTAGTCCTGACGTTCGTAGGGAAGAGGCACTGACGTGGGTGCCACGGGAAGGTGATCGCCCACGGGCTGGTAACCGCCCACGCCGGAGGTGAAGCTCAGCTTGATGGGGATTCCTTCGGGAGCGGTGTAGCTGGAGAAGGGACACAGGCATTTACAGATAGACACCAAAGCTTTGCCATACACATCCTTATCAGATTAAGCTTATCAAGGGACATGGTTCTTTGCGAAGCCTAAGGGACTCACCTCCATCCTCCCGAGGACTCCTGGCCATCAGCCTGCTTTCCGGCCTCGTTCCTGACGATACCGTTTCCAGTCTCGAAGTCGAACGTGTACTCGCCGTAGGCGTTCTGTGTGCGGTCGTCCTTCAGGATCGGGATGGGCGTCTTGTAGCTGTCGGCGACGACCACGGCCACCAGGCAGGCGAGCTGTGTGGGGATTCAAGCATCAGAATCACACATATAAAGACTTTTTATGGATTCCTTCCTTAATGAGGACAGCCAATAAAAAACTTTTTTTCTGAACAAGTTTCCGTTTCGACATAATACACCATTTTTCCAGCCATGACCATAAATGTGTTCCAACAAAAGCTAAAACGCTCACAACAAGAAGACGTTGCATTGTGATGGCTGTGCAGTACAGTGTGCTCATCCGAAAGGCGGCGGCTCTTTATATACACGGTCCACAGTGGGCGGAGCTGTATGACTGTGAGCGGACTTCGACCGTTTCGTCAGGCAATGAAAGTACGACCTTGAATAACTACATATAGAAAATATGAATACATACACCATACCGGGCTCCCCTCAT